GCTGAATATTCCAAATGGAAATTACTCTATTTTTGTATGATAGTATTTTTATATTGCTTTAAAGTTACAGGTAGCAGGTAGCATAATTTTTAAGGCGCTGAACTTCGACATGGCTGACTGAAGTTTGAGTCTAAGACCTGGCAGCTTGAAATTCACGCCAGGAGCATGTGTGTGCATTCCGAGAATCCCAGCCATCCTCCCTGGGGTCTGATTTCTCACTTTCTATTCCCCCTATAGCAAAATCTCACAAAAAAGTTTTTACAAGTAGTTAAACTGTATTTTCATATAAAACAAGGAACCCAAAGGAAGAGGCTGAATACACAGCAAGAAGGTGGCCCTCTGCCAGGAAAAAAAAATAAATAAAAAAAAATAAAAAAGCCATACACTAATAAATTGTGAACTTTTCTGTGCAATAAAATAAGAAAATTTCCCCCAAAATCCTTAAAATTAAAAATATACAAACCTCTTCCTTTGCATGGACAGAGAGCTCTCTGGTGTTTCTTCCCATTTTTTGTTTAAGAATTATTTTTTATTTAACTTTATTTATTCAGTTATTTTAATTTGAACAGAAAGGGACAGAGCAAGAGTGAGGGAGAAATAGGGGAAATGAGAAAGCAAGCCGCCAAGTCTGGGACTCAAACCGTGGTCAGCCATGTGGGAGTCCAGTGCCCTTAACCACCACGCCACCTGCCAGCCCTGGCTTGATTAATTTTTATGAAGCAAATGTATTACTGTAACCACCACCCAGCAGAAGATGCAGATTTATTATCTGAACCCAGAAGCTTCCCTCATGTGTCCTCCCAGTTACTATAAGATAACCACTATGTTGACTTTACTATAAAGTCAGTTTATATCGTTTTGGAATTTGTATAAATGAACGCTTTCCGGGACCAGCAGTTGGCGTGATGAACCCTTTCAATATACTTTTTTTTGGAGAGGTTTTTGCTATAGGGTGCGTGTGCTCACCAGAAAGAGAGAGATAGAGAATGAGAAGTCACCCCCCAGGGGGAGTGGCCACGCCACAATCCCTTCTCCATTCTCTCAGGATCTTGGGCACACACGCACACAGTGTGAGTTTTAAACTGCTGGGTCTGGGACTCGAACTGCAATTGACTATATGGAAGTCTAGTGACAGCCATTACACCAACTGCTGGTCCTTCAATATCCTCTATACTGTCTGATTTCTTTTGCTTAATATTATGTTTGTGGGAGTCATTTATGTTTCTGCATATAGCATTCCTGTAGTTCATTCTTTGTCATTATTGTATAATAATTTATTGTGTAAATATTTCATACACATAGAGTTGTTTATGGATGTAGGGTTATTTTCAGTTTGGGGCTATTTGTTGTTACTGATTATGCTTTTACGAACATCATACGTACATGCCCTTTGGTACCCAAATGTGCACATTTCTCTGGGGTCTGAATCCTAGGTCATAGAGTAGACATGGACTCAACCTTAGCAGATACTGCTGTTAGTCTCCAAAGTGGTAGTGCAAATTGACACGCACTCGAGCTGAGTAACAGTGTTCATACTGTTCCACACCCTTACCAGCACTTGATATTTACAGATTTTGCTTGTCAATTTAGACATTTTGGTGAGTGTATTTTAATTTCCTGGAATATTAATATGTCTTCTTTTACTCAGGGCCCATTTAAGTGTCATCTATTTTTAATCGTCCTTTCTTCTTCTAACTTATTTGTTAATAAACATACTGCAATTTTTTTCCCTACTGTGTGGCTTACCTTTTTACCTCTTAATGATACATTTTGATAAACCTTTGTTTTTAATTATAATGGAATTCAGTTCGCTAACATTTTGGTTTAAAAATACGGAGCTACCCCAAGTTCATAGAGCTGAAAAGTGTTTCTAGAAGCATTTGTTTTACCATGCACATTTAGGTCATTATTCATTTGGAACTTTTTGATTATGATATAGAGATTCAGTTTTTCTCATGTTGTATTAAGGATTTTTATGTCTGGGACCAACAGATGGTGTGTAATGGTTATGTTGCTGGACTCCCATGTCGTTGACTACGGTTGGGGTACCAGACTCAGAGGCTTGAAACTCATGCTGGGTGTGTGTGCGTGCGTGCCCAAAATCCCAAGAGGAAAATGGAGGAGAAAGGATTGCGGTGTGGCCATCCCCTCTGGGGGGGTGATTTCTTGCTTTCTGTGTCTCTAGAGAGCATAAGTGCCTTATAGCAAAAATCTCTTTAAACAAAAGGATTTTTATGTCTGCTTATGAGCCAAGATGAGCTGTACTTTTATTGTGTTCTTTCCATATTTTTATAGAAAAGCTATGTTGCCTTATAAAAGAAGTTGGCTAGTATTCCTACTTTGTGTTCACTAGCACAGTTTGACATTCTTTGGTCCTTTAATGTTAGAATTTACTGTTTGTTGGAACTTAAAAGTTTTCCCTGTGAGATTTTTGATTGTAGGTTCAATTCCCCCCCCCCCTTTTAAGGTTTTTGCCATAGGGTGCATGTGTTCTCTGGAGAGAGAAAAAGAAAGTGAGAAATTACTCACAGTGGGGGGCAGCCACAATGCAATCCTTATCCTCTATTCTCCTCTTGGGATTTTTGGACATGCACACACACGCACCCAGTGTGATTTTCAAGCCACCAGGTCCAGCACTTGAACTGTGATCGGCCATGTGGGAGTCCAACACCTTAACCACCATGTGACCTGCTGGCCCCTAGATTCAGTTTCTTTAATGGATGTAGGACAATTAAAATCGTTTTCAGTTTTGATATGTTATGTCTTTTTAATGTATTTGTGCATTTTTATCCAAACTTACAAGTTTATTGGCATCAGTCATTGTTACACGGGTTTTTGTTTTGTTTCAGTTCTCTGTAGGATCCAAAGTGATAAACCCTTTTTCAT